CCAGGCGAGGTCACGAAGAGATCTTGTGTTGCGCCTGGGAACGTCTGTTCTCAAGCGGGGGTACCTCCAGTACAAAAAAATCTGATCGGGACTGGGAACTCAACATGAGCAAGTTTTAATGGAAACCCGGGAAAGTCATTGAAGCTTGCGCTTTAACCTTAGAATGACGAGAAAAGACATTTCAAATGTGACGTTGGAAAGTACATACATTATTCTAGATAAATGAATTAATACTTCTACCTTAGATACGCTTAATATAATTATTGGACCTGGAAAAGCCATATTGTCATCAATGTTACAGCTTTAGCTCTTCAGCGAATTTTCACAATCCTGAATAATAATATACCTGCTCCTAACAGTATCCAATTTTCTGTCATAGTTAGCTTGAAAGCAAATACGTCAAAATGATATTAAAGATCAGATCAACTGGAACATGTTATTGGCTTAAACTAAGACGAGTGAACCAAACCCGTCAGTTGGCCTTAAAGCTTTCGATTTATTCGAAAATTCGGATAAGTGGACACACAGCATAAGGGTAAAATGTTGAGGTCACAAAATCATAGCTAGCCCCCCCCCACATCCGGCTCGAATAGAAACATCCAACCAAGAATACTTCGCTTCGCGGGAAAGGAATGATAAGGACAGGAGGCGGTGATAGGCCAGTTAAGGCCAGTGTTGTTAGTCGGAACTGTTGCGCTCTGTTACGCATCGTGGGTGTTGGGAAACTGTAAATCGGCAATAGGCCTACTTTGAAATGAAAATGTAGACTTTTAGGAGTATGACTTCGTAGGACAGCGGTTTCTGTGATTTCCCCTTTTTGAGAGAGTAGCAGTCTACTTTTTTGCCGTGTCTTCACTCGTGCAGGGAAAATTGTTTTGGTTAGTCCAAAGCTTTTAGCTGAAGAGGATCTGTTCTTTTGGTCTGTTCTGAATTAGATCTATATATCTAGATCATCTAGAGTTCTATATCTTGATCGAGATATCTAGATCTAGATCTAATTTTCATTGTGTCAATGAATGTGTTATGCAAAATCTACAAGTGTTAGATATCTAGATCTAGATCTAGATCTATATGATTGCTCCCTGAAAAATGTGAATCATCTGGAAGACCCGAAAGATCTCGAAAGGATTTTCGCTGATATTACATGGTACAGTAAATCGCGATTTTTGCTCAACTTCACCTGACCTGTCTTTAGATGATTGTGAGTTTCTCCTATTTGGAACAATTTTTATGTAGAGATCTAGATCTAGATCTCGATAAAGAATCTAGTTTTGAACTCCTGCAGTTTGGAAATAACCAGGTGTAGGTAAGGGTAAGGTGTGTCACCTTGAAAAGAAATAGCCTAATTATTGGAACTTAAATGTCTGTTTTCAGGGATGGGGG